CCTATACGGGAAACCTTAGTTCAGGTTTCCTGATATGTAAAGCCTCCTGTGATATCATTACTCCACTGGATTTTTAGCCATAACAAAGTGGCCTATTCGCATGACACAACACTAGTGAAACGCCTAATACATTCATCTCCTAAAAGACGGTGAGGATTCATATTGGTGTGTCATTGTTGTTTGGATGCAACATGCTTCCTGTCAGAAGCTACTGAAATAGTGAATATAGCTATGAAGCATATTTTCAAACGGAACTCTACTGTCCCACTTGAGGTGATTTCGATAGTGGTCATAGGTGATCGCTTTAATCTAAGTTAAAGTTAGCTTGACCACGACAGCCTATGAAGTTATAAGTCAGTACGTCTACCCCTTGTGCTAACGATCCTGAAATATTGATCAAATCTACAAAATAAGTGAGTTACAAACGTTATCTCGCCCCTAACCAACGGGAAGTGATAAACATTCGAAATACGACTTTTTAACTGCAAGCAACGTCGTCAAAGAACTTATGAGTTTAACATCTTTCAAAGTGCACAACACATGAAAAGTGCAAAGAATTACGTTGGAATGTCTAGAAGTCACGATTTCAGGCTGTACACAGTCCACCACGAAAGCTCTAGCCAATAGAGAACCTCCTATCTGTTCGGCAAATCTATTTAATCTACGTACGATATCTTCAGTGAATTCCTTTTTTGTCTAAGTAAACATTACTGAGTGTGCTTAGCCACAGTCATCTCTGATTGCGTTAGAATAGCGAGTAACTACACACTAACATTCATTTTAGAACATACTTGTTTCCTATTGTTGGCACTGTGCTTTGTATCAGCACAAATTACTTCTAGCCAGAACTGCATTAAAATGTAGTGACTCACTTTTATCACGAGAACACGACTGGTTTGATGAAAACAATCATTATTATAACCAACTGTACCAGTGCTTGTTTTAACGTGCTTTTGTTTAACTGTGCTAATTACAGCCATTTTGTGCTTCCATTACCTTCCATTATTGTTCCGCGGTTTTTGGCTTTGTTCGCATGTACTCCATTCTCCTGCTCTCGCTTGTACCGTTTCTTGGCACGATCTTGGTATGCGTTCGATACCACGAGATCGCCAAAGAAATAAATCTGGTTACTTTCAACCTTCGCCTTCTGATTTCTTTGTCACGCGTTTCTTGGTAGCTGTTATGACCTTGAGTATGTCTGGTTCTGCTATCACGCGACCTATCTACCAATCCGGATACGACTTATACGAATCTTCACACTAGGCCAACCAATGACGTTCAACCGGTGTGGGCAGTCTAGCGTCCTTATTGGTCCTATGTCTCCCGAGCCCTTCCACTTGAGTCCAGAACACAATACCAGCTTCGAATCAGAGCAGATCGTTTATTTCAAACATACTCGGTTTATATATCAAACAGACAGACCACAACACACCATAAATCAGGAAATAACATGTGTGCACAAAGAAGCCAAAAAGTGGCTGTGAACGAGGGAGATAATAATTAATAGACTGAACATAGATTAAGAACCGTAAATCGTATAATAATAAATTATAGGTCAAAATAAAGCTTATAATAAGAGGAATATAAATATACACAATCTAATTATTGAATTGTTATACAATAAGAATATTTATAGAATATTAGTCTATTAACAGTCTTCGTAAGTTACCTATAACTTAATCTTCACTGGGTTATAACAGTAGCGGTGTTCATGGTCAATTGGGACTCGACGCCACGCTATAAACATATTCGGTGACGTTGTTACTATGATTATATTACACTCTTAGTCCTTCGTTTCGTCGTAGTATACCAGTAACCTTCAGCCGTGAGCAGCAACCTGAAAATGTAATAGTACGCACCTACCGATGGCTACTCTCACTGTCACCGTTTTTAAATCAGCAAAGGTTGTTTCTATGCCAGTGTACGATTTCGTGTGTTCTATTACACTGCCAGAATTTGACTATTGCAACGGAAATGTCCTCATATTTTCTTTATACACTTATGATAAGCTCCTGGTTCATGTATAATAAACCGCCCATTAGCAATCACACGGATGATTGTGAATCATCCTAAAAGACGTTATAAAAAATCCGTCAGGACCCTAGGACAGGTGAAATGTTTACTTGCGATTCGGGAAACTAGGATCACTAGAAGTAATCGAATTCTGTATGCTACCTAGTAATACTAAGAACAGATCACTTCGTAATCTTTTAGTCACATGTAAACCAATATACAAGTCAGAGAGAAATCGGTGAGCACAGTCGAAGTTACTGTATCTGTAGTGGTTTGAGTCTAGCTTGAATGTACTTTGTGTACTAGGGAGCATGCAGATAAGCGTGAGTGAGGAGGGTCAGACCCAGAAAGCGTACACAATTCACTCACAGTTAATAAAGAAAGTAATGGAAAACAACCAGAAATAATACAAACGCAAAATTAAGACAATCTTGGAATCGAACCTAGAGGCAGATAGCTCAACAGTGCAGTATTGCTAACTTAAATCTACTGCGGAACAATTTATAAAGAAAGCAGTGTAACCCATTACTTAGAGTTCCAACGATTTATCAACAACTCCTATTTCTCTGAGGCTTTCACTCAACACTAACCACACATTTTAGTACAACAAACTTATATTTTTCTATTGCCATTACCCACCTTATGCATATAGTTGGTGATTGGTAGCCTTATGACATGGCTTCGACTTTGATGGAAGTATGAATATGCTATGAATATAAATCTTTCAGTTAAGTCCGTATATTACACCTAAGCAAAACCCTTTGATGTGACGGCTGTAATAATAAGCCAAATACCGGTGCATGGGATAAACGTTTTTCAAGTACTCGTGTGTCCAAACAGATCCGAAATGAGAAATTGGAAAGCACGGCGAAGAAAGGTAGTGAGTCACCTCGTTTCGATAAAGCGTAACCCAATATCCATAGATAGATAAAAATAATCTAAAGACGTGTCATGAATAGGGTAAGTGATACACACATACGCTCATATAAAATAAGTCAAGGCTAATAAGCGAATAATAATGTCACTCAAGAAGAATAAACTGATCTGTCTGAAGCTAGCATAACTCATATGGGCCTGACACAGACTAAACGCTACAATTGTGAGTAGTCTACAGAGCTATAAAGTTATATATCATACTCTGTGAACTTCATTGGAAGCATTTTGAAAGTCATTCTTAACAAAAAAACGTTTGTTCAGTCTAAGTGATCTAAGCAATTCACTGACATAAACCAAAGCATTCTCCGAGCTGAATTTTTTTACAAGCAACCTGCTACTCCTCGTCGGAGAGCATAGGCCGCTCACCTGCATTCTCCATTCAACTCTGTCTTGAGCAATACTTCCCAGTTGCTATTCATCCTTTTCATGTATGTTTCAAATTCTCGACGCAATGTGTTATGTGGCCTTACTCTTCCGTTTCTCTTCGGGATTACAAGTTGATGTTTGCACTGAGATGCAGTTTGATGATTTCCTCAGTATGTGTCCTATCCACCCCCACCGTCTTTTCCTAATTCTCTTTTCAGAAGGAAGCTGGTTTGTTCTCTCCCACAGAAGGCTCTTGTTCATGGTATCCGGCCACAGGACGTTCATTATCTTGCGTAGAAAACGGTTTATTAATACTTTTACTATTTTGATGATGGTTGTGGAAATTCTTCAAGTTTCGGCTCCGCACAGTAGAATTGTCTTGACGTTCGTATTGAAGATTCTCACTTTGATATTGGTTGACAGTTGTGTTTGACTTCCATATGTTCTTCATTTGTAGGAATGCGGTCTTTGCTTAGCCAATCCTTGCCTTTGCTTCTGCTTCCGATCCTCCTTGTTTGTCGATAATGCTGTCAATGTACGTGAAAGTTCTCACCTCTTACAAACCCGAAAATTGTTTGTCATTATATTTACTGATGTTGTCTTTCAGGTCTAATATGAAACGTATATAGCGAAAGCTTTCCAATGGACAATTATTTAATAAGAAATCGAATGTTTACAGTTTCAGGTTTGCGTAGTAAGGACAAAAGGCATACGGCCTATGTTATTCATTCTCTAGTATGCTTATGTGAGTATCCCGGCTTCTCTTGAAAATGTCAACTAAAGGTGCAGACACCACTGCTTCGGGCAGCAGTTTTCAATCATTGGTGACTCGGTGTGAGAACCTGTATGCCACGAGCATTTTGTTCGTTCTTGGCTTTTCTACTCGCCTGCTATGTCCTCTGAAATGTCCCAATCTAGTTTCAGATTCAGTTTCAGTTTCAGTTTGGGGAGGACAGGAGTCTTGATGGCCTATGTTAGTCCTGGCAACGGTGGTCTCTCAGTTGATCCAGCTTTCTTTTGAAAGAGTCGACGTATGAAGCCTCAACCCCGTGCTGTGGTAGTGAATTCCACTTGTTGATGATTCGATGGGAAAGTCGATAGTCATCTGACAAGTAATTTGTTTTCGGCTTGTGAACTTTTTTGGAGTGTCCTCGTAAATTCTCTGTTTTAGAGTCGACATGACTAAAAGCTCTAGTTGGAAGAAAAAGAGAATAAGTGTTCTCTACAAAAAAATAAGATCGTCTTTTAGTCTGCGACAGGACAGGGTAAAGAGATCCAGCTTTTTAAGGCGTTCTTTTTATGGTAAACCCAGGAGTTCTGGAATTGCACGGGTAGCTGCTCTCTGTACTTTTTCTAGGATGTCCAAGTCACTTTTTAAACAGGAGCTTGCAGCTTGAACGCAGTTTTCAAGCTTATTTCGCACTAAGGTTGTGTATACTGTGGTGAACATGGTAGTATCTAACTTAGCGAATGTCCATTTTAAAGCCGAGAGGGCTCTACACCCAGTAGCTGTGACCTCCAGCTAGAGAAAAGAAGGAGAATGTACCTTAAATGGTTCTCAATAACACTTTTTAGTTTATCGGACGTCAAAAGATCACAAAACCCACAAACCTATGAAAACTAACACACACTCAACTAGCTTCAAGCAACTCATATATGGAATGCCCGCCTTGAGACAAGCCTCTCAAGGTTGTGGGAACGGGAAGGGTGCCAATTTGACCTTGGTTCTTACACGCCGTTTTTACCACGAGATAACACTAAGAGGGTGAGTATTTGTTATGATCAAAATATTATATTACCCTATTAGTTCAGCCTATCCAGAGTTAGCTTTTTTGTTTTAGACTGATGTTGAATACGACGAGATGAGACGGCATACAGGTTTTCACACCGCGTCATCAGTACTTGGAACCTGCTGCCTGAAGCAGTGGTGTCCGCACCTTAAATTGACTCTTTCAAGAGAAGACTGGACACTCACAGAAGCATACTAGAAAAGGAATAAAATAGGTCGTAGGCCTTCTGTCCTTACTACACAAATCTAAATCTGACAGCCAATTGTATCAAACATATGACAGCCGAATCTCCCAGTTTTGGGGAAATGTTATCAAAACCCCGAAACTTCCCCAGAATCTTATTACACTTTGGGGAAGTCGGCCTGTATTTGTTTATGAAATTCCAAAATTTGTTCACAAATTTGGGTACATTTCGAGTTTTTACCCAAAATTTCCCCCAAATATCGGGTTCTTCGCCAATATTTTCGCAGAATCTTATCACGTTTTTGGGAAATTCGTTCATACTTATTTACTAAACCACAAACTTTAACTCAATTCCGGTGATATAATCCAAACTGTCTTCTTTTAACGCATTATTTCTCGTTGTTCGACAGACATCACAGAAAAGCCTGTCGATGATAACTACCTAGAAGTTTTTACTCAGGTATTCCAGTTTTTCCCGTCAATTACGAGAAGTGAACGCAGTGCCAAAGAAACCTAACGACAATCGATCTATCTCTGAAACTAAAAGACTGATTCGTTACGCATTTAAATGTTTATTGAAGTTTAATAAATTACAAATTATTCATGAACAATAAATTTTATATTTCTTAGTACCGGAAGTGCGTTACGTAGACGTTGAACTACCATTCAAAATGTTCTACAGAAAGAAAGTTTATTCCTTAGTTAACCAAACAAATTTCATGGCAATCACCAAAACCTGAATGTTATGTAGAACGTTGACATACCAACGGTAGAACAATATTGTGAGTAATCCGAATACAAAACTTAGTTACTTTTGTGAACATTTGCGAAACCAGCTGAAAATAAGATGAACAAGGAATAATTGTTCCAGCATAATTGTTTATCACAAATTAATATGAAAACAAAAACCAGTATTTAGTTACAAATCTAAAGCGCATTTAGCTCACCCTTTGGATCGCCATCCACGCTTTCTGACTTTATCTCTTGCGTCGTGCAAAAAGACCTGGCTTGCAACATTCATGGTGTGCGCTACTTTTATTTCCGGACAGGTTGTACTTCAGAATCGGAAACACAGAACACCTACAAATATAATAATACTGTAGTGTAAACTTCGAATCGTCCGATAGAATCTGTAATGACTGATACCCAGTTTACTATTAGTTCCATGTAAATTGTAAGTGTTAGCTAGTTCCGGCGACGGCAAGTAACGTAAGCATGCTTTGGTTGGTTTACGGGGATCATCACACATAATCTCGTGCAATTTGACCATCTAAAATTTGTTGGAACACCTGTTAAAACTTAAAAACTGATCACGAAACTTGAGCTCCTGCAAAGCAACTTCCAAAGTACACAATTCCTGATGTGTTTGTAATGTGAATGAGAGAATTGAGGTGTCTGTGTGGTCGTTGCACCTGTCCTTCACACCTATAAATGAGCTTTCCATGTAAGCAATCATTTTATCCATCTTTGTAGACAGATCGCTGATTGCTTTCATCATCATTTTATTGTCAACACTGCAACCATTACATTAAGTACAACTTACTGTTCACTAACTTCCATTGACTTACATGGTAGCGGTGTTAAGAAAACCTGTTTTCGATTAACTACTTTATGGGCATTTATTAAATAGGTACTTACATCGCTATGTGTGAAAATTTTGCTGTCAAAACGTTGACCACTAGTAAGTTCAATGGTACACACTCAGCTTCGATTTCAACAATCTTCGGTAGTGCACAAGTAATCGTTGAATGTTCGTTTTGCAGTCCCAACAATAAGTGAGTTGGGTACATTGAACAATTTACCTTTTCGGCTTTTAAGTTACACACGGTAGCGTGTCATCATCAGTTGCTTTTTTGTTATTATAATCTAGTGCTATAATGAAAGATGCTTTCATTTCTTCGGCCGCATGATAATCATCTGAAATCAATGAAAGAAGTAGTTACAACTTACCGAAATGATGCGGTACGGTGCATTTTCTTAATGTAAAGCCGTTATCACAACCGATACTTTGAAGAATTTTGGTTATTGTCACATCATCTCGATCAATATGATGTTTCTTGGCCACCAGCCATTTGCCAGGGATAACTGAAACTTACTTCTCCTTGTCATTAATAAAGAAATATTGTCCTGATTGTTTCTGAAAGTCAGTGCCATGGTTAGAAATTTTTGTCCTTGCAATGCAGCTTCTAAAGTTCCAAGTTCTGTTTCTTTAACGGAAATTCCAAACAAAAAGGCAATCCTGCAACTATTCTTGTCCTACACAACAGTGGATGAGATTATCGTGTACGCACTCATTTTATTGATATGATTCTACAGATCACTGATCGCTTTCAAAGTTAGTGGATAAGGGACAAGTGTGCGACCTATTCTCATAAAATTTATGAATAAAACTTACTCGTTGGCAGCACCGTTAGAGGGAATGGTGTATTTAGCTATTGATGAGAAGTTACCAGTTAAGATGTTGACGATTGGTAACAACTAGAATGCATCCAGCCCTCACTTCAACTACCTGTAATTTTTCAGACGTGTACAAATAGTCATACATTTTTCGTTTTACTGCCCTAGCACTTTAATGCAGAAAATTATCAATTTATCTCATAGACTTTTCAGTTTGATACGAAAGTGTGTCATTTGGATGTGTGCGTTGTAACCGAGATCTTCAGTAAATGTTGCCTCGGCTACCTGGAAGTCATCTGAAATATATTTTACGTGATCACAACTTACCGAAATAACGCACTGCGGTGCATGTTCTTAACTAACATCCACCGTCTTAACCGATGATGTCACATCGTCCTTGTTCAGAAGCCAGTTGCCAGGGTTGGTTACTGCTTGCTTTTTCATTCTGGACGTTGACAAAAGGTTTTGGTTGGTGCTAAAAATTAATCTCATTTCGTTAAAATTTAGAAATGTTACATACAATAACCCGATAACTTTTGAGATAGGTTGTCATGGGGTTAGAGTAATAATCAACGTGTAAACCTATTGCACTTAAATATTACATGTGGTACACGCCTTGAGAATTGCTATCGCCCTAAGAAAATGTATAGAAGGTGGGGATAATAACCTCGTAATATTGTGTCGGGATTCAAATACACTTGCAAAGTAGACAGGAATAACAAATCTCATGGCAAAGTTGTGTACCTTAAATGATTGAGATACTTCAATCATTCGTTACACATGTTTCGTCGTCTATGATTAACAAACAGGGCCGCTGAATGCCTACATTTTGCAGTCTGGTACGTGGCAGATCCTCACAAACAACCATTTCAATTGCTTAGATGTAAAATTAAAATAGTTCATTAAAATGTTCATTAAGCTCATAACTGTGGTTGTTTTTTTAATTGTTCATAAATCAGGTCTTATTATTCTTATCTTGCAGATCATACAACCAATTCACTTCTACTGAAAGCTATCAAAAGCTTCAAAGTATTTCACTTTGTAATGCATTCTACTCATCCCCTCCATTCATCATACTCGAATTTGTTGTTCAGACAGTGGCATACCGCAAACTATAAGGTCAGTGCTGAGAATCTTGTGTATCCAATTTTCCTCAGGTATATTATATTGTTTTCTCATCCATTCAGCCAAGACCCCGATTGTGATAAAATAATTACTAGTCTAATAGACCAGCGTCGAATAGGATACAACCGAATTATCGAGTTCTTAACACCTTTGGTTGACAAGCAACTGAAATCTGTTTTGTTGTTTGGGACAATCAGTAGAGACCAAAAAGATGCTACAGGATCAGCTTGTGATAAACCAAATTCACCAGTCATTCAGGCAATCAAGCTGCTGAAGTCGAAATTTCCGGATTTAATAGTGATTTGTGATGTTTGTTTGTGTGCATATACTGACAGTGGTCATTGTGGTACTGTGTAACATTTGGTTTTGAACATAATTTAGGTATTTTACGTGATGACGGGTGCCTTGACGTACCTAGGACTCTTGAACGTTTAGCAGAAATATCTAAACGATTTGCCCTAGAAGGTGAGTACTTTTTACTAAATGTAGCTGTACTGGTTTACTTACTGGGTTATGAAAGACACAATACCAGAATACTAATACTATCTGAGCATATAAATCAGAATTAATTAAGTAGGCTGTTCCAACAACTGAATGTGTCGACTATAGCTTTTTATTTACTACTGCACAGTGTACACTATTAAGTCGACAAGCGAACACCTCTACTACATCACCCGACCGTTGTTGCTACCTTGACGTGGTGGTCGGGCTTGCCTGTCAGGATGAAGCAACCGAGCTATACTGGCTGGAACAACCGTTTCTCAAGGTCCTACCATGTCAGACAGGTCGGTTGAAGAGCGGTGAGACTAAAAGCAACAAACACAAGGTCGGAAGGCGAAGTCGTACTGCTGACTGTACAGAAGTGTGACAGCAGTAAGGTGTTTCCTTCAGACAACCAGCATGACAGCGATGCTGCCTTCCCACAAGGAGGGGTGGGGTTAGAAAAGGTCGACCCTAAAAATGCACACCTCGCCTTATCCCACGGATATCCGTCTCCGGCGGTAAGGTTTCAATAAATACGGAGCTAACACAACAATTACCCATAAAAAGGTCGTGTGTGACCGACCTCAAGCAGTTGTCCCTTGGGCACTGCGGTCACGCTCTCAGGTCACTAAGACCACCTTTAATTCAATTTCCTTTTCAGGTACCTCCAGAAGAACCCTTCCACGGTGTGGGCAACTGGGAAGTGATAACCGCCCTCATACCTCTAACAGCACTCAAGACCACTGTATTCATAATCAACCTCCCTCTTCAATTCCTATTATTTCTACATCGACTTTTAACTCTAAACTTCTTTTTTTCGGCTTCTTCCTCAAGTGTCACCATAGCCAACGATTCTAGTGCTCAAAACACTGTCCCAAGTCTACTGAAACCTCGCTCCAAACTACACATTGGAGTCTTCAACGTACGCACCCTATGTCAAATCGGTCAACAGGCTTCCTTGGCTAAAACCCTAGAGTCTCTTACCATTGATGTGTTCTGTGTATCCGAAACACGCATACAGTATTCCAGTGTGGTTATTCACTTGACCTCACCTCGGTAAAACGGAGAGCCAACGAGATACACCCTCCGTGTATCTGGTGACCCGATGGCCAGTTCTCGTGGGCTGGCAGGTGTAGGCATAGCACTAAGCATGAGGGCCGAACAAGCACTACTAGAGTGGATCCCCGTCAACAGTCGTCTATGTGCTGTTCGGCTAAACGGCTCCGTAAGAACTCGGAAGGATAGGGACACACGTCGTTGCCTTTTTGTCGTTTCTGCATACGCTCCCACCGGCTGCAGCTCAGATGAATTGAAAGATAAATTTTACAGAAAGCTGTCCGAACGTCTTCAGAAAGCTAAACGCTCAGACAAAGTACTCGTAGCAGGTGACTTTAATGCTCAGATAGGCAGTTTAAACGAAACAGAAAGGCATTTAGGTGGATATTTTAGTATTCCGACACAGCGAACAGATAATGGTGATCATCTGCTGCAACTATGCTCAGACAATCGTTTATTTTTAGCAAACACAAATTTTAAGCATAAGGAGAAACATCGTCTAACATGGCGACCCCCTACACCAAAACAACGATGAAGTCAAATAAACCATATTGCCATCAGTCATCGTTGGAGAGGGTCGGTAGAAGATTGTCGCTCATTCTGGAGTATCTGCTTGGACTCCGACCACGCCCTAATACGGGCACGCATCTGCTTGCGCCTCACTGGACGCAAAAAAGCCACATTAAAAAGACCCGTTAGAACTGAGTTGAGTAACGAGAAAACCAAAAGTAGGTTCCAGGAACAACTGAGGTAGTTCTGAAGACGAGGCTAACCCAGATGTTTCTTGGAAAGGCATACAATCAGCTGTGGAAACAGCAGTGACATCGATTAGTGACTTAAACCACAGAGTTACAAAGAACCAGTGGATTTCTTCAAGGTTTATCACACTGATGGATTCTTGAAAACTCGTCCCACCAGGTTCTGAACATGATGAAGAGCGACAACAAATCAGATCTAGGTTAAGAAAAAGTCTAAGGTACGACCGTGAGCAGTGGTGGGTAACGAAAGCAGAAGAAATGGAAAAGGCGGCGACTATAGGGAACACAAGACAGCTTTACAGACTAATAAAAGAAACTGGAATTAATAAGTCAAGTGTAAGAGAGATTATTTCGGAAAAAGACGATACTCTCATCTGCTCGTTAATTATCAAACGCCTAACTAAGACTCGTGAACTGCAAACACGAGAAAATCAAGCTGGCTTCAGACCTGGTCGTGGCTGCATCGACCACATATTCACCATTCGTCAGGTTCTAGAACATAGGCATACTTATCGGCATCCGACAATGGTGGTCTTTCTTGACTTAAAAGCAGCATTTGACTCTGTAGACCGCGAAATTCTGTGGCAGTGTCTGTCATTGAAAGGCGTACCCCAGAAGTACATAAACCTTGTAAAGGCTCTTTACTCGAACACTACTAGTCGAGTCAGGGCTTATGGCGAACTGTCATCTACTTTTGCAACCTCAAGTGGTGTCCGTCAAGAGTGTCCACTTTCTCCATTTTTGTTTAACTTCATCATAGACCTACTAATGGAAATAACATTTTCATCGACTGAATTCTCGGGTATTGATCTCCTACCAGGAGGTCCACTTATCGACTTAGAATACACAGATGACATAGTCCTGTTTGGTGAAGACGCTGACAAAATGCAGAGTCTTCTGGTAACACTAAGCAACAATGCCAGAATGTTTGGAATGCGCTTCTCTCCCTCTAAATGCAAGTTGTTGCTTCAGGACTGGCCTGCGTCAACACCTGAACTAAGGATTGGGAGTGAAGTAGTCGAACGTGTTGACAACTTCACTTATCTTGGAAGTCTGATCAACCCTAATGGGTTGGTATCGGACGAAATCTCAGCACGGATTCGAAAAGCTCGTTTGGCTTTTGCCAACTTACGTCACCTTTGGCGAAGGCGAGATATCCGTTTATCAATAAAAGGACGAGTATACTGCGCGGCAGTCCGTTCTGTTTTACTTTACGGTAGTGACACATGGCCTTTAAGAGTAGAAGACCTCGTAAGCTACTAGTATTTGACCACAGATGCCTTAGAAATATTGCTGGCATCTGTTGGGATCACCGGGTAAGTAATAGTGAGGTTAGACGCAGGGTATTAGGGAATGATGGTAAATTAGTTGATGAGGTTGTGAATCTTCATCGACTGAGATGGTTGGACCACGTGTTACGTATGTCTGAACACCGATTACCACGTCGTGCAATGCTAACGGGTATTAGAGATGGTTGGAAGAGAATTAGGGGCGGCCAAACCAAAACGTGGCATCAGTGCTTGAAGTCACTAACTGCTAGTGTGAACCATGTTGGTAGATGCAGACTACTTGGTTGGGGTCCGCGTGACTATCGTAACCAATGGTTGGCGATTCTTGGTGACATGGCTCAGAATCGATCACAATGGCGTCGGTGTATACACTCCCTGTCTTCCCTTAAACTAAGAGATTAAAATTGCTTCATATCTTTCTTTCTACGAACTAATTCTTTCTTCCTATACTATATCCTTATTGCAATCTTTCTTTTATATATTACCACCTTTGACCTAACCACTCCTATGAATCCGGTGTTCATCTTGCTGTGCTAACGAGGTACGGCAACCTGGACCGATGCACATATGTGCCTGGTCCTACGTTGTAGCTGACTGACTGACTCTACTACATCACAAGCGATGCACGATGGAAGACCGGGTTTTTAGAGTCCATGTTGGGATTCGGTTAGGCACCAACCCACTAAGACTGATGAGACCTCCAAGATAAGTGAAGTAATCAGAGTACTCACCTACTTCACTCCGTATCACTAATTTAGGTGTTAAGACAGACTAGTATTGAAGCAACACTTAGCACTTAGGGGGGAAGAGAAACCTATCCTAAACACGCTAGCATTGTTGCTCAAGTTGATCGAAAGACTTAATTTTGTCAGCGTCTTCGCCAGAAAGGAGTACATCATCTGCGTACTCCGAGTCTGTGAATGAATGTCCTGAGGTACTAATCTACGATAAGTTAGGTGAAGAGAGTATTACTTCCAGTGACATCTGTGATGAGCGTACATAACAATTGAGATAGTGGGAAACCCTGAAGAACACTACTTAAGGTCGACATATAGCCGTAGCCTCTAACTCGACCAATAGTGTCTAAGTGGAAAGTCTTCACAAGCTTTATGTACTTATTCGGTACGTCTTTCAATTTAAAACAATTAGTCCCTTTGATAAATTTCGATAATGCAATGAGAAGACGTAGTTTATCAGAATTATGTGATATATTTGCGCAGTACATTTCGAACAATCTGATCACACATATACTTGTTAAGAACATTTATATATGAAAATTAAGAGGTCAACTAGACAGGTTAAGGGTAAGTCATAACAAAGTACATAAAAAACAAATGTGATTACGTCTCTCAATGCCAAATATTTTCACAGAATATCGGTCAACAGAGTCGCATAATCTCTATTTATTAATATCTACAACTATAGTCAATATTGCCAAGTATATCTGCATATTTAAACCTGAAAAAAGGTGAGTATTTTGTCAATGCATCCAATTGCATGTCTAAAAACAGCCTGGTTTTACCGGGTTCACTCTTTACGAGCCCTAGTAAAGCATTGGATTTGGTGAGTTTTGGTTTCCTCGTTATAAAGAAAATGTTCAGTATTTAGGCCCATTTAAAATCAATCCCATAAAATACACTCTTCCACCTCTCTTCAGAGTAAACAGAACGTCTGGTCAATATAGTCTTGGTAGTTAAATAGTCACTGAGGAATCTGTTATTAGAACTAATTGAGCTAGCTGTATCAGTAATCCAGATTGCGGTACAACCATTTGTGTTAAATGTAATCCATACAGTGATTTTGGGAGTGTCCGACTGTGACTTGATATGCTCCCTTATTAGATGGTCTCTATAAAACACGAAAAGAATAACTTTCTGAGTTAAAGTTACTTTGTGTGTAACATCATTGTCTAGCACTTCTGTAAGAAAAAAAAACGCTCATTTAGATTATTTATGCGTATCGGACATCGATTTGTCATTTAGTTTTTTACGTCTTAATAGGCTGTAGATGCTCATCCGTTATACAGTTTACGCTTATTTTTTATTTACAGGAGCTGATGTTATTGCCCCTTCTGATATGATGGATGGTCGTGTGAAAAAAATCAAGACGGCTATACAAAGTATTGGTCTCGATGGGAAGGTAGCCGTTATGTCTTATTCAGCCAAATTTGCATCTTGTTTGTACGGTCCTTTCAGGTAAAAATAATTTTTGAGATAGCGTAAAAACTTGTGTGTGTAAGACACTGCAAACTCCCAGATAAAGTGTTGAGTTTACTGACAGTTAGGTGTTGCCTCTGTGTTTTGTGACTTATTTTGATGGAAAATGGTATGTGTTTCGCACTATCAGCTAAAATAAAAAACCTTGACGTAGTCTTCATTTGACGACACAGGTAAAAATCAGTAGTATGGGATTTTTCTAGCCTTGTATTTTTCCAAAGCTTGTAGACGTCAGAACGAGATTTTTAGTTAAAATTCTTTGGAACTGGCCTAGCTTTATATCTTGATGCTTTAGTTGTTGAATGAGTGCTCTTTTCTATTTTGATAAGAGCTTTATTTTAGTCACGGCCAGTTTATTGGAATCACTCGTGTTGACATGTGAAAGAAGAAAAATCCAACTCAGTAACTGCTTATGGGTCTTTGGCCCCCAAATGCCCTGGTGTGGCAGAGAGTTGGGTGCGCTCGCCCCACTCTCGAAATGCCCTCACGTGGCCACGCGTATACAGCCTCTGCCAGGGAAGTCCTACTCACTGCCTTCTCATGGTGGGGGTGTTGTTTACGAAAATGAGAGGACGAAAAGTGAATGTCCGGCGCTTTATCCGGATCCCAAACCAATGGTGCACATGGGCTCCAGTATCCTGCGGGAACAAATGGTGTATGAACCAATCGTTGGTCGCCGGCTACCATGGGACTGCATCTCCTCACGATGCTCCACTGCCTTGTGGGTCAGACCTTTAGGTCAAAGGCTTGGAGTGTGATCCCCTAAGTAAACCATCTGCTACGGTCTGGGCACCCGGGCAGTATCACAGCCCACACACAAATATGATGAACTGTCGATATTTATGGTAAATACTTGTCTTGCTTCGATTAACAGTCAAACGATTCACATTATTATTACTATGATTACTATAATAATAATAATAATAATAATAATAATAATAATAATAATAATAATAATAATAATAATAATAATAATAATAACAATTATTATTATTATTATTATTATTATTATTATTATTATTATTTACCACATCATTTATTCACTCCCTTTTATTCCCACTCTCTCTGTTATTATTTTTCGACTTATACAGCAGCTCGCCTATGGTGGAAAATCGGTTCTGTCTAAACGTTGTCGAGTCACTGCCTGGTTGAAAATTGTATGCTACCACCAAATACGAGTACTGAAGCAGTTTTTCTGAAACCACTGCACCATTCAAACTGGCTGCCTTCAACGTTCGCACACTTATGCAGGTCGAACAACAGATAGGACTGGCTATGTCTTTGGAAAGTCTTAATATCGACGTTCGTTGTCTCTCCGAGACCCGTATTGAGGACTCCGGTGAATTACTACAAATTTTCTCTCGATCTGTTGCTTCGAAAAGCTTATTCTATGTGCGCTTATCCGGGGACCCTGTGGCATCTTCGTCTGGTCTTGCTGGCGTTGGTGTCGCACTAAGCGGTAGAGCTGAGGCAGCACTAATCGATTGGATCCCCGTTAACAGTCGGTTATGTGCTGTTAGATTAGAAAGTTCCATCAATGTGAGTAGGAATCGGCGTGAGAAACGATGTCTTTTCGTCATCTCCGCCTATGCACCGACAGATTGCAGCCCGAATACAATCAAGGATGTTTTACCATTAGTTAACTGTTCTCTAGAAAGTGCGTTCGACAGATATTGTAGTACTAGCCGGAGACTTGAATGCTCAGGTCGGGCGTCTAGGCACAGAAAAGAGTCATTTAGGTGACCGATGGGGACTTGTTGGTCGCAGGACAGATAACGGGGACCGTCTACTGCAACTGTGCACAGACCACAACTTGTTTCTGGCTAGCACTAACTTTCGGCACAGTCATCGCCGATGTGCCACCTGGCGTCCTTCCTCTTCATCTCAAGCCGCTGGCGTGGTTGTGTAAAAGACTGCCGCTCTTTTTGGAGTACCTATCTGAACTCTGATCATGCCTTGGTCTGCGCCAATCTTACCTTTTCAGTGACCAACGAAGTGACCGCCACCAAAGGATTGATGTCAGCAAGCTGGTTGCAACTTTTGTTGTAAGTAAGTATCGAACCGAGCTAGCTTCTAGGCTAGCTACCATTCCACCGAAAAGTATAGATGAGCATTGGTTGTAACTGCATGCCGCCATGAAAATGGCGGGTAAATTCGCTTGCAACTTCGCGAAACGTCCCGCTTATAAGCACTGGGTTTCTTCAGACTCTTTACGACTCATTGAGGCCCGTCGATCTACACCGGGTGACCGTGAGTTTGACCACAGACGAAGGATGTTACGCAATGAAATCGGACAAAGCTTGCATAAGAACCGAAAAGCCTGGTGGTCGAAGCGTGCTAATGAGCTGGAAGCAGCAGCTGCATCTGGTAACTACGGGAGCTCTTCCAACTCATCCGAGCCACTGGCAGCAAGAAGTCTGGTGTGAGCGAAACAATCTGTGAAGCTGATGGGTTGCCAGTCATTAACATCGATCGACGTCCTGGACGATGGGCAGAGTTCTTCGAAAGGCAGTTCAACTGGCCTGCTGCTCTGGCAACATCGGTCAAACTGTCTTGTCCTCCATGGCCGGTGATGACTGATCGACCAAATGAGGTGGAAGTCCGCAAGGAACTCCAACTCTTGAAGCTCTACGAATCACCGCACCCAAATGACTTACCTCCAGTTATTTTTAAAGATGATGGTGACATTTTAGTTAAGGAACTGACTGTGTTGTTTACAAAGGTCTGGGGGCTAGAGAGTGTACCAACGTCATAGAACGAGTCGATAGTTGTCCCTATCTTTGAAAACGGTTCACGTCATTTCTGTAACACCTATCGGTGATAAGTCTACTTCTGATTGCGTGCAAGCTATTGACTTCCGTCATACTTCGTAGGTTTTTCAAAACCCGAGAAAGATTGACTCGCGAGGAGCAGGCTGGGTTTCGTTCTGGTCGAGGATGTATTGATCATATCTTCACCCTCAGCCAAATGTTAGAACACCGTCATATTTATCACAGACCAACAATCGTAGTGTTTCTTGACATTAGGGCTGCCTTCGATTCGTTGGACAGGACTGTTCTATGGGATTGTCTATTGAAGAAGGGTGTGCCTGAGAAGTTTATTAACATTCTAAAATCCCTATATACAAACACCTCAGGCAGAGTGAGGGCATACAACCACCTCCTTCCAATATTCCATTCGAGTAGTGGGGTTAGGCAGGGTTGCCCAATCTCATCATTCCTTTTCAAATTTGCTATCGATGTCATTCTAGAAACAGCTCTGATGGATGTAAGTAATGGTGGTGTGGATCTGTTGCCTGGAGAAAGACTTCTCGACCTTGAGTTTGCGGATGATATTGTCTTACTGTGCGACAATGTTCAAGGCATGCATTCCCTACTTAATCAGTTGGCAATCAGTGTCCATAGGTATGTTATGTGCTTTGCACCTTCGAAGTGCAAAGTACTTCTACAAGACTGGCAGGATCCTAATCCTGTACTCACGCTGGAAGGTGTGCAGATAGAAGTAGTCGAGAAGTTCGTGTATCTGGGTAGCTGCATAAGTGCTGGTGGTAACGTGAGTGATGAGATCAATGCACGTATAGTGAAAGCCAGAACGGCTTATGCCAATCTGGACCATCTTTGGCGCCTTCGTGATGACAGTCTGGCTGTAGAAGGTCGGATCTACAACGCGTCGGTGAGAGCACTTCTGCTCTATGCTTGTGAAACCTGATGTCTTCGAGATTAGAATGTTAGACGACTCTCTGTTTGATCATTGCTGTCTCCTAAGGATTGCTGACGTCCAGTGGCAACACCATGTTAGTAATGCAGAGGTTTGGCATCGTGTGTTCGGGCACAGAGGCGATAATATTGTTGGTGTCACCATCTTGAAACACCGACTTCGGTGGCTTGGAAATGTTCCACGAATGTCGTCCCAGAGAATTCCACGTCTTGCATTATTTGCCGACGCGGGTACTAGTTGGAAAAAGCGGAGAGGTAGTCAGTGTATGACATGGTGTCGTAGTACGAAAGAAAGCTTCAAAGGGCTGGCTTCTGTTGGTCCTTCACGACTCCCTGGTTGGGATCCGAGAGATGGTGTAACACAGTGGTTAGAGACTTAATCAAATATGACTCAGAATAGAAGCCAGTGGTGATCGTGCTGTAACCTTTTACTTTCTTCATAAAAAGTGGTTGTTTCTTCCTTAACTGAAAGATTTCTTCTGGTTGTACCTTTCCGTTCTCCTCCCTATTATTATTACTACGCTACCTTACGCTAATCTGTTCGTTATTGTTCTTTTTTTACGCTCCTTCTTTTTTTCTCTTCGAATTCTCATTGTTTTGTGTGGCGCATATAAATTTGGTGCCCTCTTGTACTAATATTCATGTGTTAAAATAAATTAATTAATTACGGGTCTTTGTAATAATACAGATACAAGAGGTTGTAATTTTATATGATTTTAGTGACTAGTTGGTGAAGTGGATTTCGAACTTTTGATTTTTGATGCATAAAATATAGTGTATGAACTGATGACTAAGAGTGATATGTAATTGACACGTTTACGTTTCAGAGATGCTGCTCAATCCGCACCTTCTTTTGGAGACCGTCGGCATTACCAGCTTCCTCCTGGTGCCAAGGGTTTGGCTCTACGTGCTGCTGTAAGTCTTAAATGATCATTTTTCAAACTAAAAAGCTGTCACTTCAAATGGGTTTAAATTCATAGACAATTTCTTAAATGAATTGGTGTTTAATGTGAAATTTGACGTGATTTTATTTCAAAATAAGGTTTGTTTTACTTCAAATCTATCAATAAAATGAAAGGTCCTTCATAGTTTATAGTTTACTGGAAGTGATTTCATATCTTACTTTCAGACTGGATTCACCAATTCCCATCTGTTAATCTTCATGTTAATCATATAACTTGACTGTAGAATCAAACACAGTAGCGAATTGGTTTAACTTGTCATACTACAGGATGTCAACAATCGCGCTGTAGACATATCATCAAACTGGGAAAGGTAATATGGTTCTCATTGCCAAAAGTAAATTAAAACAAGCATATTTGGACGAGTTAGTTTTCATTTTAAGTTAAGGTACAATCTCTATTTCAACCTATATAAACTTTGTAAATAAAACCCCCTAAATATGACAGTTTAATGATATTAAGTAAATATATCGTCATATGCTTTAGCACCTTATTTTTGTGCGGTCACTGCGTCATTATCGTTTTTGTGTAATTACAACTGGTCATGTAGACCAATTACCGCAAGTTAAGACTACATCCACCCAGAAGCGTTAGTCAAGGAATGTTTATATAAACTACTGAGCAAACAGAAATAAATTGAATACTCTTGAGACACTTACAGTGTGACTGATAATCAAGTCATATGGTTAATTAAATTATAGATACCTTACACTGCTTCAATTTTTTTATTTTCAGAGAATTCAATATTAACGGAGCATAACTTCGTTTATCTAATCAGTCAGTTTGCCCATCTAATTGTATATTCTTTTTGGATTTGTTACACAGTACAGTTTCAATGACAATATTTATGTCCTACGTTGAGACACCTAAGTATTTGCATCACATTTTTAAACTCAATACGTTGCATAATTACTGCGAAAAACCTCTTAACGTTTTTTATTTCCTTGTTTTGCCTTTAACGTTTGCGCATTCCAGATTCGCGATGCAAACGAAGGAGCTGACTTCATAATGGTAAAACCTGGTCTTCCTTATCTGGATATTGTAAATGAGATACGACAGTTGGTATGTCCATGTTGTGTTTGTTTGATGTATCCTGTGATTTTCTTAACTCTATGCAGCATTGGTATTTCGACGATAATAGTCATTTGTTTTACAGCAAATTGTATTGTATTGGCAAACTGAACCGATGTACTTGCAGACTCTCTTCAAGACTATTACGTTAGAACAGGTGGTCACATAATAATTTTACAGACTAAGATGTAAATTAGCAATGCGTTTATATTAGAGCACATAAAAATAAAGCTCAAAATAGACTACTGTGAATAAGATTTTGAACGCTAATCTTGAATTTGCACACGCTGTTCAACAATCTGATGCAGTGACTTTACATTCATATAGGTTTTCCTCAACCTAAAGTGATAGTTAATATAAGAAGCAAAACAGTGACTCAACATAGGTTATACTTCAGAATGAATTTCTCACTCATTTTATCAAAATACCCTAATTGTTTTTACAAATAGTTCTTTTATTCTTGAGAGACGATTATTACCTGTACAAGTAGCGTGTTAATATCCAGCCAAAGTTATTCAGACGCCTAGGAAACATTAAAACAAAACTCATAAAACTCTTACATAAATATACAATTTATTTCATTCCTGATATTGTTTTTCCTATTTCAGCTACCCCATCATCCTCTAGCAGTTTATCATGTTTCTGGTGAATATGCAATGCTAAAACATGCCGCAAATGCTGGAGCTATCGATTTAAAGCAAGCCGCCTTGGAATTGATGACTGCATTCCGTCGTGCGGGTAAATTTCAATACCAGACAGTTTTTGCTTATGCTCATGAAGTAACCAATATTTTGATTGTTTAAAAATCCCCATCATCTATATGAACGAAGAATATTCTTTTCAATAAATCCTCTTCAGGTTCTACAAAATTGTATATCCAAATTAATAATCTGAAAAGTAATCAGATTTAGGGCAAAGTACATCGTTTACAGTAATAACATGTAAAATAAAATTGTTAATGTTGAGATAGCTCATATGAAATGTTAACTTGCATCGGCTTATACGTTAAGTGAAATCATAAGATTGTTCATGATCGGAATAAATATGGGTCAGATAAGGTAAGAGAAATAATAGTGCAATCACAAATTTGACCAAATGTCTAGTGGACTATATTATGTAAAAATTTTATTTGAAATTAATAAGAAACGGTAATGTGGGATGAATGCTAATATAATGAATCATGTATTCGAGACATTAATAATAATGCTAAACCACTAATAATACAAAGATATGTGAATAAATACAACAGACAATTGTATTTGACTAAGAACGGTTGTAGGTACATTACTCAAATTAGGTCATTCAATAGCTATAATTATTATTTAATTGGTCCTGTGGTAAGCCAAGGTAGGAGAGGTGGTTGAAGATATTTCTTTGTATCCATCGTAGTGACTACTGCTTCCACCGTTCGCATGCTATAACTTTCAACGTCGTACTTTGCCATAAACCTGGCCACTCTTCGGATCAACAATTTGGATATATAATTGTAGAACCTGAAGAGAATTTATTGAAGAGAATATTCTCCGTTCATATATTGGTCTTTTAACCAATATTTCTTGTGTGTATTAAAGATATTTTTGATGTAGATTATAATTATATATAACTTTTCTCTGCATCTTGGTAAACTATTCATAATAATTGTTATCTAAATACTACTGACCAGACCATAGATATTCAGATCAAATTTATTGGTTTACTTGATGTTAACTTTAAATGATTTGCATCAGAAGGGAACGTATTCCAAAAGGTAACTAGTTTCATTATAACCTGTAATCATGTCTTACCATTTATTTATGAAAAAATACCATAAAATGCAAATAAATTACATTTTCGGATAGATTTCATTTTATCACATTATGCACATTTATGTAACAAATTAATTATCCTAAATGATATATATTAATTAGTACAGTACCAAAAGTGCCAATTACAAACGTGTTATCGGTGTTTTGTTAAGAAACATAATTGAAGTGTAATCACAAATCTGTGCATACCTTTCCCCCTTTTTAAAAAATAAATCCCTAAACATAAACCTGTTTTGATCATTAGCTATATGCTGAACAATTAAAAGTTATTATTTTATTTTAACTCCAATTCAACAGTAATGACCACCTAATTAACTTCAACAGAATTTTCTACACATACTAGCTCACACGTACATGAACTTCGTTAGTGTTACCATTTTTAGACTATTATACACTTCATAACAAAGATTTTTATTGATTGTTCGTAGTATTCATTTTCTTTATTGTTTTTAATCAAAAACATACTTATGCATTTCTTAAAGAACATTTTTCCTCTTTTTATTTTCACATTTTGTGTGTAGGTGCATCAATTATCATAACATATTTAACACCGTACCTGCTGGAACTTGATTTGTCTGAATCATGTAAATAAAGGTGGATATTTTTGAACTAACAACCTCAACAGTTTAGATGAATGATTGACTTGTTCGCTGAAATATATTGGAGTAATTGATATTTCATTCATTTCACAACTTTGTTTTACTGATTTTCTCATTCCATTGTAGTATCTTTTCTTTGTCTGTTAAATCATATGTATATTCTCTAAAAAAGTACTCCATTCTTATCTATTCGCTTTAATTCTCTACATCTTTCTGTATCTGTGTTTATTATCCTAGTTTATTAATAAATTGCTAGTTTAGGAATTTTGCGAAGATTGTTCATTTGTAGTGTACGTCACAGACTGTCGTTAATTAAACAACTATTGAAAATCTCAAAGCACTGGATATCCGTCTCGTTCTAGTATATAGGTCTCCTCAACAGTACCCATATATGACACCGTCAGATATCTCGTAGTAAGCGTCTAACCTTCATATCATTGATCTAGTATTCAATATTTCATATTTTCCATCTTCGGTTTATGTGTAACAAACAAGTGAATCGGAACAACTAAAAACGAGTCACCATAACGAATCACTGGAGGTATATAATAAGGACGAGGAGGACGCATCCTTTTAGCTTATGACAAAAATTGGTGTGGAGAAGTAAGTGAAGGAAATTATTTTCGAGGTATTCATAAAGCTAAAAATAGTGTGATGATAAGCAAATATAGCTTTTCCTATTCCTCATACCTAAACATAGGATTCCATCTTATGCTTCTTTCTCGTACCACTTCTAGGTAATACATCATGTTCCGAATGAGTGTTTTCCCAAAAACTTGCTTTATTGTTTTCTGTATCTGAATGGAAACCAGAAGCGTCGAAATTTTTAGTTACCTCAGGTCAGCACTAAAGACTAGTCAATTATGATATCGGTTACCGCTCATTGATCAATGTAAATACATCAGCTCTACAGAAGGTCTGTCGAAACACGAACAGCTCAGTACCAACCTCTCAAACTGATATGGGTTAAAATTCCATATGGGGGATCGTTATTTGCATGTAAGCCTCTATGACTAGTCCCAACCAGGACGAAGCCAATGTCTCTGTTCTCTCACTAACCACCCAATATTCAAACAATACACTCCATGTTGAGTCACTTAAAGTAGCAACGCATTGCAACTTGGTCGATAGGGTTCATTTACTACTAAAAAATCAGTAGACATGGTTCTGGTTATTCTACATAGTGATCATTCTATATAATTCTTATTCACCAGGCATAAAATGAAGGCATATTGTGCAAAAAGCTCTTCGTTTGGTTGTGCAAGTCTCCTGGTAAGTTCAAATTAGGATATCAGAGACCACAACAACAACTGGACTATAAATTAAGTGCATATTTGTAGTTGGACAATTGAGGGTACTGTCCTTACCTTGGAGCGGAACCTGTGTAGTGCTGGAATAACCTCCAACACCTTAGGCGAATTCTTTTTGCAACCAAGCAAAGCTATATTAATAGACGACTGGTCCCATGGGTATAAGGCGAATTTTTTCTGAGACAGTTCGGTAAGCTTGATTCAGTATTGATAACAAGTCTGTTAAACCCTTTATGTTTTGGCTCTTATTTCCAAGACATGAATATCTCATCTTAAGATCGTGTTTTCGAGTTACTATTTTCATTACAACAAATCAGTTACTAGCATCTAGTGACAAGCTAGCGTAGTAAGATGGACCCATAACATTATGGAAAATTTGTTCATAATATGATTGTTTAGCTACCTGTCTTTTTCTGATAACTATGAAATGCGTTAAATTCACCGAGTTGTGCTACCTTCATTCGTTGATTGGGTATAGAAAAAAGAGTTGTTGCTAAAATGCACTTTCGACTCTGACAGTACAGTGATGAAGTCAGTGTGTATGCTGACCATTAAAAAAGAAAAAACATTATGATAGTAATCAATACGCCAAGTACATGGGGAATATAGTTACTTTTTTTCATGTCTTTAGTGACCTTATTGTGAACTAAGTGGGATTGTATACACCACCACTATCACAGACTGAAGTTTTGATCTACTGTAGCAGGCTTATTCTGGTTTCTAGACAAACCAAAAATCACACTCATTCCCGTTATTCTGTACGCTTGTCTTTTAGAGGAGTATTAAAATAATGAGTTAAGCGCTTTACAGTCAAATATATAATTGGAGTGTGATTGATTACTTTGTACTTACTATTATGAATAATTGTGAACTCTTACCTGTGTACACCCATACAATTATGAATATTCGTGTTTTTCCGATGACCTATCGGATTAGATCTAGGTATATTTTGGTTCAGAGCATTTTTTACATACATATATGATGTCACTATCTATACACACCTCACCTACACATTCGTTCATACATTTAATTAACACATTCCTTGTCTGCCTGCTTCCTCTGATTAAGGACATGACTGGTTGGAATAAACCTGTTAATATTTTGTGCCATGAATTATCAATACACCGGAGGCAAATGTAATCGCTGAGTTATTTAAATCAATTCGTCCTAACAAGTCATTCTGGGTAGGTTCTTAATAAGGGCTGAGCATGCCAATGCTAAAATTACATACGGTCAGAGATCTAAAATACACCTGACTGAAATGCTTAATTTCTACCTAGAAGAAATATTCTCTTCAATCGTAACAGGTGAAAGAAAGGAAAATATTAAGGATATTCTGGAAACTTACTTACGCCTGTTACTCCTCAAGAAGGAGCATACGCCGCCATCCAACCCTCTCCTGGGCAATCCTTTCCAGCTCTTTACAGTTGTTATTCACCCTTTTCATATCTGTTCTTTGACCTCCCTCTTTTCCGCTTCCCTTCAGGATTCCAAGTTACGACTTGCCTCGTGATGCAGTTTGATGATTTGCGTAATGTATGTCCTATCCACCAACTCCATTGTCTTTTCCTAACTACCTCTTCAGCTGAAATCTTGTTTGTTCTCTCCCACAGAAGGCTGTTGCTGATGGTATCCGTCCAACAACGGACATTGAGTATCCTATGTAGACAGTTATTTATAAATTCTTCTACCTTCTTGATGGTGGTTGTAGTAGTTCCCCAATTCTCAGCTCTGTGCAGTAAAACTGTGTTGACGTTGGTATTGAAGATTCTCACTTTGATATTGGTTGAAAGTTGTTTTGAGTTCCATGTGTTCTTCAATTGTAGGGATGCGGCCCTTACTTTGACAATCCTTGCCTTTACATCTGCATCAGAGCCTCCATGTTCATCGATGATGCTTTCCAGGTATGTGAAGGATTCTACATCTTCCAGAGTTTCGCCATCAAGTATGATTGGATTGCTGTTCTCCGTGTTTTATTTGAGGACCTTAGTTTTTCCCTTGTGTATGTTGAGGCCTATTGATGCAGAGACAGCTGCTATAATGGCTGTCTTTATCTGCATTTGTTGGTGTGTATGCGGTGGGAGAGCTAGGCCATCTGCGACGTCCAAATCGTCTAATTGATTCTGAGCTGTCTATTGTGTGCCGTGTTTTCCTTCAGATGTCGAGGTCCTCATAATCCAGTCGACCACCAGAAGAGAGAGGAAGGGGGAGAGAAGACACCCTTTTCTGACTTCGGTCTTTACTAGGAATGCATCTGCCAGCTGTCCTCCATGCACAACTTTGCACTGTATTCCGTCGTATGAGTTCCGGATAATGTTGACAATCTTCTCAGGAACTCCGTAGTGTCGACGAAGCTTCCGTAATGTACTCCTATCTACACTGTCAAGTGCATTTTCATAATCAATGAAGTTGATGTACAGTGTCGAGTTCCACTCAACAGTTTGTTCGACGATGATCCGTAGTGTTGCAGTTTGGTGTGTGCGCGACCGACCCCTACGAAATCCGGCTTGTTGATCTCGAAGTTGGGCGTCTAATGCGTTTTTCAGCCGGTCCAACAACACCCTGTTGTTGAATTTCAGTGATTGGCCTGCCTTCTTTGTCTTTGACCGGTCTCTCTAGTTCACTATATCTCCCTGCTAGTTTCTTCCTTGTATCATACAGGTGTTTCATATTTCCTTCTCTTGCAGCTTTTTCCATCGTCATTACTAGTTCTTCCACCTATTTCTGCTTGTCGGCTCTAATGCTCTTCTTCACTTGATTGTTTGCTTCTATGTACCCAGCTTGTGTTTGTAATTTCTCTGCTCGTGTTTGGCTGTTCTTAATTGCTGTCTTCGTGTTCTTTCTTTCTTTGATCTTGTCCAGTGTTTCTATAGAGACTGATTTCTTATGATGATGCTTGTTGAGGCTCAGAACCTCTTGACACGTTGAAGTTAATGCTTTTGTGATACCTTTCCAGTTGTACTCCATATTAGTTTCTTCTTCCTTCAGTAGATCCTGTAAGGCTTGGAACCCCTTGTTGAGAGCTATCATGAATTCATTGGGTTTGTCAGTCTCTCGCATGAAGGCTGTATTGAAGCTTTGTTGTGCTGTTTTTCCAGTTGTCCAGTTCTTCTTTAGCTTCAGTTTTAAATTGGCCACAACAAGGTGGTCAGTAAGTTGAAGCTATGTCAGCTCCTCTCCTGGTTCTCACATCTTCCATTGTCCTTCGGAATTATTTATGGTTACAAATATGATCTATCTGGTTCTTTGTGGTGTGGTCAGGTGAGATCCATGTAGCTTTATGTATACGTTTGTGTGGGAGTATTGTGCTGCCTATGACCAATTTGTTGATACACATAAATTTGCAAATCTTCCCCCAATTTCGTTTCTCTCTCCCAGTTCATGTCGTCTCATGATATCTTCATATCCGGTGTTGTCTATTCCGACTTTGGCGTTTAGATCTCCCATCAGAATGGTGAAGTATTTTCTTGGCCACTTCGCTATGATTGATCGCAACCTATCGTAGAACTGATCTTTAATGTCATCGTTGCTATCATTGGTGGGTGCATAACACTGGATAACATTCATTGTAATTCCCTTTTTCTTTGATTTGAATCATGCTTTGATGAGTCTGGACCAGTGAGATTCTCATCCTACAAGTGCATTTCGTGCCAGTTTGGACAGCATTAGAACAACTCCCTGAGTGTGTCGAGCAGTTTCGTCTTCGTGACCCGAGTATAGCAGCATCTCTCCCGTATTTAGCCTTTGTTGTCCAGCTAGGGTTCAATGGGTTTCGCTGATTCCCAGTACTGCCGAATCGTATCTCCTCATTTCCGTTGCTATTTGACTGATCATCCCGGTCTCCCACATCGTCAGTTGTTAGAAAAGATATCGGCTTGGTGGCTTTCGAAGGAAGTCGGCTTTCATCATGAGGCGTGATAGTTCTTGTAAATGACGATCTTCTAACTTCCAGGG